TTCTACCTTTGCCACAAGATGTTTTATACTTTCATGTCCATTAGACACAATGCACAAACTTTTCCGGTCATTGAGTGTTGCCTTCAATTTTTTAAAGAACCAGGTGTATGAATCACTATTTTCAGAATCAACAATGCAGAATGCCAGTGGAAGTATATGGGAGTTTGCATCTTGACAACATACTGTAAGCAAAAAAAAACGAACACACACGTAGGGGTCTCAGGATTGAATATTGATTTTAGCTAACTTTTATGGCAATAAACATATTTTCCCTTGTAGTAAATATGAACTCTTGATATACGTTAGTTATACAAACATATTTTAAGAATCAACTTCACTATATGTATATTATTATTTATTGTTTATTTATAAACATAAGACACACAACAATTATAGAAACATAAACAGAACATAACAAAAATTTATGCGTATTATATACAACTTATATATGTTAGAAGTAGACTAACTCAATTTTATTAGATGTCACGGATGATATAATTATACTAAATATATTCACGAATTGAACAACTCACTTGACGATTCAGTCATATTACTACTACTTAAAAAAACAACAAAAAAATATAACAATTTGTATCAACGTGGAACTAAGTTTGTTTCCCTCTCTTCGAATTTGAACATGTTTTTACATTGTGCCCCTCCTCTATTTTGAACTGATACTGAATTGTTATTGCATGGAGGCTGAGCATTTTCATCACTAAATTTACTTTTATCTCTGAATGTTTCGCTGACCACAATATCAGAATTCATGCATCCATCGATCACTGCTCCAAGTGTTCTAGAGTTGTTTATCTCAAGTTTATATTTCGTTTCTTTGTTGTTTTCAACATAGTATGTGCGGCATGTTCGACGAACCCTATGAAAAAACCATTACCTTCTTAATCTTCATGTGTTGTTTCCAGACATCCTACTGCTGCTATACCACGCACAGACGATGACAAAGACATTGGTATGATATCGAGCACCAGATAAAAAACACGAACACTAAATTACCTTCAAGAGTTGTGATCACAAGAGATTTCACGAACACCAAATTTGTTCTTCCGCAACTCCATCGATGATTTTTTTTTATCTGGATGATTTTTTTTTTCGATTGCAAGAGGTCGATGAACACAAAATCCTACTTGAATTTTTGAATTTATAAAACCCTGAATTGTAAGTATCAGAGTTGGTTTTTTTTTTTAAATCCCATTTTGTTTGCATAGGTTTCGGGTAAATTAATTGTATGTTTATTATTTTGGGAGATAAGGAGATCCCATGGTAAGAGAATCAAATCTCGTAATTGTGAAAAATAAAATAAAAAAATCACCAACTCCTATTTTGATTTAACGCTCTCCGCATCGTATATATGATAATATCTGTTATATATAGAGTCTATATATGTAAATTTCCAATTAAACTAAATCGTCTTCTTACGAGAGAATTGGATTCTCCACATTTTCCTCTTGGCACCTCTTGACTAATCATATATTAAATGGGTCGAAGTTTCTACACTAGGTAGAATCAAACTATTTGTATATTTTCCCGGCAAACAAGTCGAAGTTTTCTTCCCTAGGCACGATCAAACAATATCAATAGATTCCATATCCTGTTTATAGGTTTGGCTCTTGGATTCGAATATGCAAAACAGGTTTCATGGCATATCGAATTACATGGATCTCATATAATCTTCCAAAATGAAGTTACATTTCTAGTTCTAGAGTATGCCATCCTCTAGGGCACACGTGTTTTTCAATTTTCATTTTTATCTTTAAAATGTGAACATCTTAGAAGATATCAAAAGTAGAGTTAGATTAGTTATAACATGAGTTGTAAATATCTAAAGACAGCCATATTAATAGGAAAAAAAAGAATCCATAAAACAATGGACTAAGAACAAAGACAGCATTGTAAAGTAGGTCTTCAATCAAGCTTTCCGAGAAATTGGACAGGCAAGAATACAAACACCATAATCAAATTAATTAATACTGCCAAAACCCTATTAACAATCACATCCACTGCGCCCTTAAAAGACAACTTTCAACAATTATGAACTTTCTCAGCCAACATCACTAGAATGTCATTTACTACCACGAAGGGAAAAAAAAAATGAACACGCGTCTAAACATAATAACCCTCACATTTCAGACAAGACACTTCCCAAACTAGACAGAAGGATAAACAAATCAAGAAACTCATCCTAGTCAACAAATTTCTACAAGAGGATGGATATATGTTTAATTGTACAAAATGCACCCCAAGCTACTATATATAAAGACCAAGACCAAACACTTGTTATAAGATTCAAGCTCATACCTTAATGAAAAAGTGCCCTTACTGATTGGTCGCGAGGGAAGCAAGCTTCCCAAAAGCCGGTATACTCAACGAACGTCTCTTTAATTTATATTTCCCCTTGAAGTAAGGTGTTAATGAGCACATCATGTGCTCGTGTCTCGTTCCAAGGAAGAGGTCAAGATTCTGCCGGTATCTCTCCCCCTGAGCATTGCTTCCGCTTTTTATATTAAACATGTTAGCAGAAGGGGAAAACATACCATACAGTTCATTTCTGTAGTAATAGCCCCCATCATCATAATCTATCATGCTGTTGTCGCTCATAAAATCCTGCAATGCAAGATCATCATACTCCTCGTCCGACTTGTTCGACCCCTCGTCCACCGAGCCTTCCAACTTGAAAAACAAAGAACGAGAAAAAGATAAATAAATAAAGGCTTGCACTCGGAATCTTTTTCAAACCATGGAAACAAATATAGGTGTAATAACTTTTATACAAGAAAATCCACTCCATTTCGACTAAAGATAAGTTATGCTTTCCAACTTAACGACTCAACAATCCTGGTTTGCGTACCTCTTCTTGGTTTTTCTCTCTGTCATGAAGATCCTCATCACTGTCCACATCAAGTGACTCGACCACCTCTTCATCACTACCATGCACAGACATTTCTTCCTTGAGCTGCAAATTCCAAACAAAAGATTCCAACAGTGATGATTCCGTGAAAATAATTAAGTTAGCCAAAAATTCGAGGCAAACAAGTAATACATACCTCCTTGGCAGGACCCCTGGGTGAGCTGCAGCATGAAGAAAAACACCTACTCCCATAATCAGTCAACTCATCGAAACTGCTGGCATGGCTGGTGCCCCCGACATCAGTCGGCCACGCACTAATCCCAAAATGACCAAACTGCAGGTTGACAGGCTCTGCCTTGCCTATCTTGAGTGGGCCGTACATGGGCCCAGCACAGTGGCCCACAACGTTCATGGGCCAGGCCTTGGCCACAGAACCATCATCATTGAGAAGGGCCATGAGCTGCCTACTGGAGCCTTTCCTCTGTATCAACTGGAACATCATCCCCTTTGAGGTGACACCCCTCTGGCTTCTGTACTCCTCGTCAACAGTGGAGATAGTGTTCGTGAGTGGGTCGTAAAGCTGGTCACCTATGGCCCGCCTTCTAAGACAGCTGAATACAGTGGCGTGAATGACGGCCATGCTCTTGTCCACGTTCGTGTTGTTGACCTTGGGCACGAGGTGCTTGTCCGCCCAGTTGCAGAGGTAGTCTTGGATTGTGCGGATGTTTCGGATGTACTTTACGTACCTGTTCTTAGCAGGGTCGAGCGTCATGTACTTTGCACGGACGCTAAATCTCTCCAAGTGCTTCTCCTCGTTCGAGATGTAGATCATGAAGGGTATGATGGAAGGGTGCTTCTTCATCAGCCCCATCTGTCGGCTAGTATTATTAGCCTCGAAATATTATATTATAGAATTGAAGGCAAAATTGCATATTAATACATCACATTTCATGTTTTTGCAATTTAATCACCACCTTTACAATTTTGCAAATTTAATACACCACTTTTACCATTTTTGCAAATCGATACATGACTGACGGTTCAATGCCATGTCAGATTTTCGTTAGATTTTTTTAACGGAACCGTCATTTATGAATCGATTTGCAAAAAATGGTAAATTTGGTGTATTAATTTGCAAAATTGTAAATGTGGTGATTAAATTGCAAAAACATGAAAGGTGGTGCATTAATATGCAATTTTGCCTTTAATTAAATGATGATGATGAAATCAAAAGGGGATTAATTAATTAATTGTTATGTTACCACGAAATTCAGACTTAGGTGAACGCCCTCGACCACGACAGACTCTTTCCTTTCTTCCCATGCGGTTATCAATCTGTCGAGACTGTCGATTACCATTTCGCTCTGTGCTTTGAATCCTTCTACCGCCATCTGCTTTGAACTTATCAACTCACTTGACTTATTATTATTATTCTCTTCTTCTCCTCTTCCACTTGTATTATAAGTAGTAGCTTCGTCCTTCTTGGGCAATGAAATGCCACCTGATTTCTTTGCCTTCCTTTTGTCCTTAGCCTTTGCAACTGCTAATGGATCTAAATATTCACCGGCGTGATAGGTTGAGGCCCAGAGTAAAGGGTTCTGCTTTTCATCGACAAAGCTTCGCATCATGTGCCGAATTGAATCTGTTGAAACAATGGTGGTAATACCCAACCTGCTACCCTACAATCACAATGGCCAAACATGACTGTGAGTGGGAAAAAACGTACTCGCATATAAGTAGTGTGTTTCATAATATCGCAAGTAATACAGCAAAGAAGGATAAATATATCCATTTAAGCAGAATACATATGTACGTAAACAAAAGTCGATTTTGAAGGAACAGATATCTATATAATACAATGAACAGATAAATGTGACACTGTAAATGCTGAGGAACAGCTGGAACCAACTTCAAATGCAATGCAAAATATAGAAGAGTGGTGATCACCAAAATATTTTTGCAAATAAAAAATAAAATTAAAAAGGACAAAAGATAAAGGCGGATATCTTTGTAACAGAAAACCAACCAGCAATGCAGATAAGGTAGATTTACCACAACCACTCGTGCCACAGAGTAACACAGTTACAGACTCCTTTCTTTCTCGGACCCTGAAGAGATAAATTAAGACTGAAAAAATATGATAGAGCAATTTCTTGACATGGTACGTAAATGAATAATTATATTCTCAGACACATTCTAATAAAGCACAACTACTAACTGCTTAATCGTACAAGGTGAATCTTAAAAACATAGTGAAGCTTCAAAATATAAATTGGCAAAAACATCTGTCAGTTTAGATGCCGAAAGCAACTTCATTGATCATGTAAGCAGTTCATAGGTAGTGCTTAACTGACCAACATGCATCAGAAGTAGGTAAAATTCTAAGAGCAAAATACACATAATAAACATAATCAATTTCAGGAAGTAGGTTCGCTAAATGCATCTTAACTCGAATAACTGGATGAGGAGGACCAATCATAACTCTGAAGAGTTAATAAATGAAAAATCAAATCAACTTTTACAGAACTAGGCCAAGACAATGTTGATTGCAAGCAATTGTTCTCAAAATAATGATAGGGAAACCCAACATTGTCAGCTTATCATGTTTAAAGGAAGAGGGTCTTTCTGCCTAATAGATAACTGGACTATTAGCACTTAGCAGCATCAGGAATTTTGAACTATGACTCTATTTGTCAACTGAAATTGCACCCAGAAATTACTTTTAAAAAACAGCCTAAATATTCCTTGTAAAAGAAGTATACATATTATGCTAAAATTACAACGAACTAAACATGATTACTGATTGTCATATTGTCCTTCAGAAGAACACAAATTTCGAAAGTTAGATATGTACTAAAATCCAACTCACTACTCTACATCTGGATAAAGGATACATAGTACGATGAAAACAAACTGGATTGAAAAATCTAACACCAAAAATAACTTTACACAAAGCATAAGTGAAGTGTCTTACACATCAAAGTCTTCTAAAGACTTTGTTTTTCCTTGTATATTTTCCATTCAAAAGGTAAGTGATTTTCTGAATAATTCACACCATGCACACAACATACTTGTAAGTATCTGGGAATGCAACTTTACCTGCAAGCTATGACTAAATCCGCCCTCTGATTCGGCCCAACATACTTGTACTCAGAAAGTGCTTCACAAACAACATCTAGAAACTTTTTTCTTCTAACAACAACAGTGGTGCGTTTTTTATACAATTCAAATGGTCTGCTCTTACTCTTATCTTTATCTAAAGCTATTGTATCAGCATCTGGTTTGTCCACAAAGGCATCAACATGGTATTCAGACTCCCTGTTGGGATATATCTTGACATGTTCATATGGAACCCCTAAACATGTTTGAAACAGTCTCTCCTCCAAACTCCCAAGTCTCATTATTTCAAATACCCTTTGGCTAATCTGTAAAATGTATGAAGCTTTAGGATACATTCAAGGAGAAGAGGCTAACGAAGGTGCAAGATTGAAGTAACAAAAAATATAAGTCACTTGTAATTTGTAGAACAGTAAATGCAAGATGCCCAGATCCAATTGCAAATAATGCACGATCTCAAGTGCAGGATTTTTTTTATTTATTCATTTTATTTTAATTTTTTTTTTTTTTTTTTCGTCAACATTAGGCTTGTTATTCGTTTATTCATTTGGGATTTGAAGTGGAATTTCGAATATGGTTCTTTTTTTTTATCCTAGCAAATCTTAAAAAGTCTTAGCAAATTCTAGTCTTAAATTATAAGTTAAATAAACAAGTTTTGTAAGACTTTTTAAAATCTCAAATGAATACCTCCAGACTTTTAAAAGTCTAAATTAAATACACCAAGATTTCTGAAGTATTAAAAAGTCTTTAGAAATCCTAAAGGAATACAAACTCAGAAATTAACAAATAAAAGAAAATTCACCAGCATGAGCAATATTGCTTAAATTTACAGAAGTTAGAATATGAATATGCTACAAATTTTCCACATTCTACATTCCCAAATATGATAAATGGTAGTATCTGAAACATTCATCCATAAAAAGAATAAATGTCGAAAGAACATATATTTAACTGCCGACATAAGATCACAAAGCTGATAACCAATCATCATCATCATATCCTACAGATCAAATATCACCCACTAAAACCTTTTATGGTGATATTGACATATGGAATTTTGTGCATCATTTTTCACCTTTCAACATGTGCATCCTTCCACAACAATCACTAAAGGACCACAAAAAGAACAAAAAATAAATTTATTCAATTAAATCAGAAATTAATTAAGAGACGTGTATGAATACATTGTCCCTTTTGGCCTAAAGATAGCACCTTTGTTTCTCAACAAGGCCATGCATGTATGAACAACCACATGCAAACCGTGAGACCGATAATATAACTGAAAAAAAAAAAAAAAGGTCATATTCTACTTTCCATTTCAGAAAATGGCATATATAAGCAGAAACATAAAGAGAGAGACCTTAAAGGCATGACGAGGCTTGCAACCCATGAGTTGCAGAGTGCTTTGGAGAACAGGACGCGAGTACCGAAACGACGGCGTCCCATTAGCCCCTCCCTGACAGCCGTCGTCATCCTCCCGCACCACCAAGTACAGCAGCTTCGTCGCCATCCCTATTCCATCTCAATGCACTCTCCAGAAAAATAAATAAATCCAATTCATATCACAAATTTAATTAAAAAAAAACAAGGTCTCAAAATGAACCGGCACCATGGAAATGCAGGACCATAAAAAAAAAATGAAATAAAAATAAAAATAATTACCGGCGAGTGTGAAATCGAGAAATTGAAGTGGGGATGCAGCAGTGAGGAGGAAAATTGAGGAGAAAAAGAGAGGAGGGGAAAGAAAAAGAAGCGTTTTCGGAGGGGAAGCGGCCATTTGTTCTGCCACCAGCTTCCACGCATCATAACTCCTGTGCCTCCACGACTGTAACCGACCTTGGCTCCTAAATGACAGATTTGGGCCTCCGGTGTATCGTCTCATGCCCTTATATATAATTACCGTTCTTCGGTATCATCCTATGTGACAAAATTTCATGTTTTTTATTTGACTTGAATAAATTTTAATTTACTTTCAATCTAAAAATAATTAAGTTCGAATTATTCATAAATATATTAATTATTTATGGTCATTTTACATGTATTAATTCCACTTTAATATCATCTCCTATATATAATTGCAGAATTCGTTGAGCTTAAGTGACAGTCTTGCATGCTTCGGAATTCTACTTGACGAAAAGACATGCTTCATAGTTTTTTTGGATAAAAAATAATATTATTTTAAATAAATAATTTTAGGTTCGAACATTCCAAAAATATTGAAAACTAACTTGATAATTCCATAATAGTTTGACTAATATAACCCTTAAGTTGTATTGGAACCTTCAGTAATGGTATTGATTAATTAATATAACCTTGATTTGTTTTGAAAACTCTCAATCGGCTCATTAATTTTCATGAAAACCTCAAATTCGCCTAATAAATACATGTATTGAATTTTAAACAACTGTTATTGTTATTATTATTTAATTTTAAAATTAATTTTCTTAACAAGTACCCGTGTAGTACACGGGTCTTGTACTAGTTTCACATTATATCAATTGAATTGTAAATGTATTTTAAAAATTAATAACTTATGTATTTCTTATCAGCTTTACATATGTAACATATCAAATTAATTAACTTTTGAAGAGCTTTGATTTGACATCCATATTGTATTTATAAAATAAATAAATTATATTTATTATTTTGATAATAATAAAATTATTTATTAATAACATTAACTAGAAAAATAAAATTATTTATCAATTAATATATTACTTTTTAAAGTATTTATAAGATATAAGTTAGAAAAATTATTACAATATAACACTTGTGAGTTGCACAAGTAACAAGTGTCATTCTAAAATATATAATAATATATATTTATTGTAAAAAAGATTTAAATTTTAAAAAACTTTTTTCGACTTAATTTTAAAATTTAGAAAGGTGTTGTACTAGTTATATTTAAAAAATAATAATTGTGCTATTTAGTTAATGTTATTTTCATTTAACTGTGAAAACTTGTTTGTACATTTCACTTAAGTCTAATAATATTTATTTATTATTTGATTACATAATAATTACTATTAGTATTAACTAATTATAAATTCACATTTAAAGTTTATGACAATTACACTCTAATATAAACATATGCAAATTAATATATCATTATTAATTTTCAGTACAATATATATACAGTACAATATATATACACATATGCAACCACAGAATTAATATATGCAACCACAAAATTAATATATCATTATTAATTTTCAGTACAATATATATACACATATGCAACCATAGAATATTGACATCAAAATTAATATAACTATCATAATGATATGCATTATACTAAGAAAATATTCAAAACTAGTCTCACATGTTGAGGGGAGTCTTATTTCTGGTCTCGCATGATAGTGAAAGTCACAAATAGTCCTATTGTTTTTAAAAAGTAATCAAAAGTATAACTTTTCATGCGATTTCGTGTCGAAAGGCCCGATAAGCCATGTGGCGCAGATGTGGCGTTTTTTCTTGACACGCTGACAGCAATCATCACACGTGGCATGACACTAAACCTGTGGGACTAGTTTTAAAATTTTCCTAATTTTTATATTGTTATGCTCTTCTTTTGTTATATAAATTATTATATATATTAATTAATATAAATATATTAATAAGTAAATTTAAGACAACATTATGAATATATAGAATTATTTATTATAACTACTAGTACGTAACCCGTGCGATGCACGGGATGTAAAATTTGGAAGAATAATATAACTTCACGTGCATTAGGATCGAAATTGAAGTCATTAAAATACATAGGAACATTGTTGAATCATAAAAAGTTCGGTAACAATCATATATTATTAAAAACCTCCTTGTACAAAACATTATGAGTTTGATTATTTGGTAACTCCTCATTATCACAAACTAATATTTTCGAAAGAGACAAATCCTAAAAATCAAACTAATATTTTTGGGAACAAACTAATATTTTAGGATTGGTGAACAAACTAATATTTTAGGATTTCTAGGATTAATCTCTTTTTGGTGAACAAACTAATATTTTAGGATTGATTATATGAATAAGGCTACCTGTTTTTGGTGTTCTTTTCATTCATTTTCATTCAAACAATCCGATGACTTGTATAATGAAATCCGAATCTTAAGCCGAAATATTTAAAAAAAGAGTTCTTAAAAATTGAAAAGTCAAGGCAATCAGTTCAGATTAATTAAAAGTGAAAGAATATTCGCTCCTTGAAATAAAGACGTATGTGCTATCATTAACTAAATATCCGGTTATTGAAATAGAGTGGTTACCAAAAAATAGAACGCGATAAGGACGCTTCATGAAAATATCAATGGGATAAGGTCATAACAGATTGCTATACATTTTAACGATAAGAGCTCAGATAGAATGATTTATGATAATTATGTAGTAGTTAATGAATTAATCAGATGTGTGAAAAGGACATAATTAATGAGAAGTGTGAAAATGACATAATTAATGAGAAGTGTGAAAAGGACAAAAACTTACCAGTTTTGGAAAATATTTAATTCAAATCCGACATTGACCATAATTTGACCTACTATTTTGGATAAATGTTAATTCTTATTATATAAGTATAGATTTATAAAATTTTAATTATGAATAAGGATAAAATATACATTAAAATAAAATTAAAAAATATTTTAGTTACTTTTATTTTGTGATGTGTCATTTTTAATAGGTATTCTTTAGCTTCTTTTTAATATTAAATTATTATAAAATTTACAAAAAAAAAATATTTTTATTCATCAGATAATTATAGTTAACATCTTTTATTCATGCCATATATTTTTTATAATTTACTATTATTTAATAAAAAAATATAGTAAAAAAGTGTTAACTATAATTATGTCATGAATAAAAATATTTTTGTAAATCTATAATAATTAGAATTTTATAGTTAATTTGTTTCTAATAATTACTATATTTTTTGTTAATTATAAATTACAAAAAAAATTATGTCATGAATAAAAATGTTAGATATAATTATGTCATGAATAAAAATATTTTTGTATTTTTATAAATTATACAATAATGTCTTTTTCATTCAAAATTAATTTTATGGTATAGACGCTTACGACCTTCCCCTCCAATGGGGTGGCCCTCCAACCAGTTATTAGTTTTGATATAGAGTCAACAATTAACTCCATAGTGAAGCCAACCTCCTATACATAGTAAGGAAAAAACAACATATTTTGTAGTTAATAGAATACACAATTAACAACTACTTAATAAGAAAAGTTTTAATTCTAGTTAACAAGTACTTCATAAGAAAATACAACAAACAACTACTCAACCACAATTAAACTAAAAGCACTTATATTTTAAAATTTAAATTTGAAAAAATAAATACTACAAAACTTTTGTACTATTTTTCAAATTAAATAAACTACTAATTGTACATATTATTAATAACTCTAATGTTTAACTAAAATAATCTAAATTTTAAATATATAGTATTACAAATAGTTTGTAGAATTTATTTGTTCAATTTCAAATTTAAAAATACAAGTACTTTTACTTTTTCAATATTGTTCTATTTCTTATCAAGTAATTATTAATTGTATTTTTTTTTATCTAATTATAAACTATGTTATCTTTTACTTTGTATGTATAGTATGTGATGTAGGTGATGGAAGATTGAATGTGTAGAGAGAAGTTCTCTTCTCTGTAAAAGAAATCGACTTTCTTTTCTTTTCTTATTCAATTCATAAAATCTGATAACTCCCCCGTTCACGGATACACAACTATTTATAAATAATACATCCAAGTCCTAATCACTATTAATTAGAAGCGCAACACAACAAGTCCAATACCACATAATAAAAGCCCACACACAACATAAAGAAACATAAACTAACTAAAATATAATAATAATCAAGCTAAGGACCAAAGTCGATCATGTTTGTCGAGATATGCTAATGCAATCTCGTCGGCATCTTGACTTCAATATGGAAAACCCAACTATCTAAATGTTAGAACAACAATCTACACCTTAACATCTTGAAGAAGATATCAAACCATTAAACCTTTTGATGTGATCCAGAACTGTTGGGTCCTGTCACGCACATAATTTTCATCCTTATATTTTCCTCGCCCTAAATTATAAATAAATATATATAATAATAATAAAAATTATTTTACTGTCATTTTCACCTCGTATTTGCGCTGCTAAAATTCAATTTCTTTCACCATGCGACTTCTGTTTATTTCAGCGGTTCCCTTTCCATCATCCTCACAAGGGCACTACTTAACATTTAACAAATTCAAACAAAATGGGTAGTATCCAAACAACAGGTAGCCAAATAATCGTCTGGCCTTTGCCTCTCACCACCCCTCAATCAGAGCACGCACACAAACAAAGTAAACCATCACTCAAAATCCAATCCTAAAACTCCATCATCTCAGTCACGCCTAATCCCATAAGAAAATCAGAGTACTCCATTACCATTCAGTTGATCACACAGAATAACTTCCCATGCCTGGCTGGGCCCCAGGCCCAGCAGCCACAGGCGTCTTGGGCTTGGGCTTCTCAACAACTATGGCCTGTGTAGTGAGAACCATACCAGCTACCGAAGCTGCATTTTGCAGGGCACACCTTGTGACCTTAGCTGGGTCGATCACGCCAGCCTCAACTAGATTCTCGTACGAGTCCGTCATTGCATTGTAGCCGAATTCCCACTCGCTGGCCTTCACTTTCTCCACAACAACTTCACCCTCAACTCCAGCATTTTGGGCTATCAGAGCTGCTGGTCCTACAAGAGCCTGTCTCACCACATTACTCATATTAATGATTACACCGAGTATGCATAACAGAGTAGATAGTTTAACTACTTTCAAGAATTCATTAATTGCACATACATTTCAAAATTTGTATTTACTTGACAAATCAGCTTCCACTGGGAAAAATCAGAAAAAATGAGATGCAAGTCAGCACCTAAAATTATTTGTGTATTGAGCTTTGCATTGGCCTAAAGTTTGACCAACAGTAGTGACTATAGGTATCAGTACATTAATGGTAGTGGCTGCTGTCCGGCTACGTTTAAATGTCGAATTAGAATTTCAAGCGGCATTTTGAGATTTTTTAACATTTGAAATTTGTAAGATTTTCAGATTTTAGAAGAATTAAGCGAAATCTGGAGGTTGGATTTGAAGTGGATTTCGTATAAGGTTTTCTATTTAGAAATCCCACCAAATCTTAGAATGTCTAAACAAATCTTAGTCTCAAATAAGTTAAATACCTCAAGATTTTGTAAGACTTTAAAATCTAAATTAAATACACCAGAATTTCTAAAGTCTTAAAAAGTCCTTGAAAATCCCAATTGAATACACCCCCTGTCATATGTCAAAAAACGATATGTATGCACTTTTGATACCTTTTGGTACCTTATTAGTAACTTGTGTCTAAATTATAGTAACTTATTTTGATATAGATAAAAGCAAAACAAAAGGAAAGAAGAAAAAACTATTGATACCTTTTGGATAATATCAGCACCCAGTTGCTCCTCTGCATCTTCAAGTTTGTCCTTAATGGCGGGCACATGGGCAGAGAGGTGAACAAATGCGGCCCCGCCACCTGGCACGATGCCTTCCTCAATCGCAGCAAAAGTCGCATTTTTTGCATCCTCAATTCGAAGCTTACGGTCCTCGAGCTCCGTCTCTGTTGCAGCACCAACTTTGATAACAGCAACACCACCAGACAATTTTGCAATTCTCTCTGCTAGTTTCTCAGAGTCATAAATCGAGTCTGTCTCAGCTAATTCCTTTTTCAGCTGAGCAACCCTAGCTTGTAGCTCGTCCTTTGATGCAGCATCAGCTATGATAGTAGTTGAGTCCTTGCTTATTGTTATTTTTCTTGCAGTTCCCAACTGGTCAACATCAGTGTTCTCCACAAGCAGACCCAAATCAGAGGCTTGATACTCGGCTCCTGAGATGTAAAAGGATAAAAGATGGTATTATAATACAACATATCAAGCTAGATTATCTTAAAGAACTTCTGTTTTCTTTCTTATAGTATATAAACTATAGAAAAAGGGTAAACTGGAGAAGCTATAATTGAAATCCAGATCCACAAATAATAATACAATAAACAAAAGCTACATTTAATATGCAAGGATCCTCCTTAACATATATTGCTCTTGAATGGAGCCTTGACCAGGGGAATAACAAATATCTACAACACAAAACAAACCTCTAGTGAACCTTTTTTTTTTTCGCAAATTTCAAGAGTAACAATATTTTCTTCAATCAGGTGCGTTCAAGGTAGTTTTTTAATCTACCCTCAGCATTTTTTTAATGCAGTTGGAAATTTCTTAATAACAAATATAAGTTGCTAAAATGTTTAAACAACACACCAAAACTTTCTATACACTAGAAGTACACATACAACATCACACGAATGCTGTTAGAAGAAAGCAAATCTCACCTGTAACAATGGCGATATCTTGAAGAAGGGCTTTCCTTCGTTCTCCAAAACCAGGTGCTTTGATTGCAGCCACATTCAAGACACCTCTGAGTTTGTTCACAACAAGAGTAGCCAATGCCTCTCCAGTTACATCTTCTGCGATGATAAGTAAAGGTGCCCTCAACTGAGTGGTTTTCTCTAACAGGGGAATAACGTCTTTGATAGCCGAAATCTTCTGGTCAGTCACTAATACTTTTGCATTCTCGAACTCAACAATCAATTTCTCAGGGTTGGTCACAAATTGTGGGGAGATGTATCCTCGGTCGATCTGTGAGTAAATAACGACGAAAAAAATTAGGCAAACTTTAACATATAAGCTATATGATGCAGCCAAGAGGATATTTTGAATGACCTTGAAAATATCTTATAAGAAGTATCCCTACATTGCATAACTTGTTTTTAAAACTTATCATCTCGGTTGGCCCTTAAAAAATAGATAGACTTTTGAGTAACTCTGAGTCCAACAAATGTTGATTATACAATTTCCGTGATTAGAATTGAAAATTATGGCAAAAATCCACCAATTCCCTCAAAATTCACCAATGGAAACTAAAATGGAACACTTCCAGAGAGCTCTACAATAGCTTACATAGCTCTCTAGATGGGAAAAATATGAAATGAAATATAATCTCCAGAATATATGCAAACCTCCATTCCTTCTTCAACATCGACAGTTGTCTCAAAGGAAGATGATGACTCAATGGATAATACACCATCCGGCCCCACTTTGTCAACTGCATCAGCAATCATTGTCCCAATGCTCTCGTCATTGCCCGCAGAAATTGATGCAATAGCTGCAAATTTATCAAAGATCTTCAGTAAAAAGCACAATGAAAGAATCATTCATCACTGTTCTATCCAGTTATGGCTAAATTTTAAAACTTGGACCCTTAATAGACACAATACCTTTGATGTCATCGCGGCCCTTGATTGGCCTAGCTTTCTTTTCAAGCTCACTGACCAAACCCTGCACGGTTTTGTCAATGCCCTTTTTCACTGCAACTGGGTTAGCACCCGAGGTCACACTTAAAAGACCAAGCTTTATAATTTCTCGAGCAAGCACTGAAGCTGTAGTGGTCCCATCACCAGCAGAATCATTAGTCTTGCTCGCAACCTATGCACACAAAATTCAGTGATATTTTACTAAATACTGCAAAAATGAAGGAAAAAAAATGGTTATGAAAACATAGCACATTAAAAGGAACCAACCTCTCTAATCAATGCAGCACCAGCATTTTCCATGGCATCAGGCAACTCAATGGCCCTTGCAATAGTCACTCCGTCATTCACCACTTTCGGGGCACCAAACTCATCCAACACTACATTCCTTCCTACATTATTATGACCAAAAAGCAGATTTTCAGCACCCACCAACATATCACTTCAAACAAGAGAAGCATCAATCAGCAATACAATCATTAGGATAACACTTTTCATCCATTCTCATGATTATCAACTAGTTCCAGACAGTTGCGCTGAAATGGCAAATAAATTTGATAAATAAGGTAAGAAATTGGTCAATGTCTTAAGGAACTTGCCCCTGGGACCGAGAGTAAGGCCTACAGCGTCCGCAAGCTTGTCAATGCCTGTTTGCATAGCAGACCTTGACTTCTGGTCAAAAGCGATATCCTTAGCATTAGCCCTCACCACAAACCGGTTCTTGTTCTGTTTCTGGCCACACTTCTGGAATTGGGTCACTCTCCTATTCTTCAAACCCAACTGAAACGAAAAAATTTCAGAAGAATAAATTATCACCAAATAAACAAGAACAAGCGTAAACCCAAAAGTGAAGGAGAAGAAGCTTATGTACTTGTTTCGAAGATGCAGAGAGGATGGAGGTTGTGGAGATGGCATTGGCTGAGGCCATTATCTCGTGAAGATTGAAAACGGAGGATGGGTTTTTGGTGGGTTTCTTTGCAGAGGCAGAGAATAAGATAAGGGTAGGCGCAGATAAAATGTGCCGAGGGTAGATGGTAACTGGTAAGTAGAGGACTAGGGCTTAAAAGACAATGAGGATGGGTTCTAGATGATTCCCCACTTCCCACTTCCCACTTCAAAGAGTGGATTTTTCTAGGCTATTCCTCTCGTAATAAAACCACAAACGGAGCTTTAGAGGTTTTTACTTGTTTTTTTTTAATTATGATTAATTTTAAAAATGTTAGTATAATTAACTGTTATTGTATTTTTTAAGTTTATATTAAATAATATTTAAAATAAAATAATAAAATTTAATTTGATATAAAAGTAGAAGGTAGATGATTGAAAGTGATAAGTAGTTAAAATTAAGGGAAAAAAAAAATTATCATCCGAACTATAACAATTTTCGGGCATCACAATATAAATTATTGTTTTAACAAACCACCACCTAAACTATACGGGTTTGTCAAATTGCCTCCAAAACTGGAAATAAAAGTAGTTTTTACCAAAACAAACTAATTTTTGAGGACATTTATGAAATTTTATATATTTAAAAAAAATGAAAAATGAAAGAATTACCCAATCCGCATTGCTTAGGCACATGATTGCCGCCACCTCGAATCGCTCCGCTGACAAGAATCCTCTGCCCCGCAAGCAGGCCCTCTCTATTCCCGCCACCGCGCACCTCGCCTGAAAATCGTCCGATCCCTGGCGCTGCCTTTTTCGTCGGCGAGCCCGCCGCCCTACCCTCCGCAAGGGTGCATGCAAATCTCGCGGTCGAATTTCTCCGTCGGCCGCGAGAAAAAGACGAGCCTTTTCGAGTCGGGTCGCGACCCTGAAAATGCGGTCAATGACCCGAAACTAGCTCGGTCCAGATGGGGTCGAGGGCCGTCAGCTCCAATAGCCAGGTGACGTCAGCGGCAGCAGCCTACCTTCTCCCCCATGTCCAGCGCCCCCTCATAATTTGTAGTAGCCGGTCGTGAGCTCAGCCGCGTGGGACCTCTTCCGGTAGTGCCAGTGAACACCCGCGACCTTGCCCGAAAGCTTCGCCCCCATGCCTCAGAATATTTTCCCGGCCTGCTCGAGTACACTCTCTTTGTGCTCGAGCAGGCTTCAGGAGTACCAGTCAAAGAAGAAATGGTCGTAGTTGTTGCCCCTTGCGTCGTCGTGCCCAAAAAAATCGGTGCCCTCCAGAGAACGATTGTAGCCGCCCGAGTCATTGGGCCTGCACAGGCCCCAGTTGTCTCGGTCTATTGCCGACGCGGCAGCTGCCAGCGAAGCTCGCATGTACTAAAAATTATTGTATGCGCATTGGAATTCTCTGATGCTGGGAAATTTCCAGGTTTCGTTGCTTTCGGGGTAGGACGGGTATCTTAGCTCCCCACAAGGCCCAATCCCAACTCGAATCTCCTGTAGTTAGAGGAAACATAACTAAAGCTGCTATGGAGTCTTTAGAGGTTCGATTTCGGAACATGCTCGCTCGAAAACTAGAGTGTTAGTCGACATAATTCGAGGATTATTGCACAAGGGCAACATCAGCAGCTTCACTCACACTCATTTCCCTGCTCGGACTACCCGATGCCCGACGAACTCGACGTACAAGTCCGTCCTCATCTAATATTTGTTACAATATTGGTTCGACATAAGTCGATAAACCTAAGTGTTATCTAGAAGATTTTTTTGTTGGACAAACAAAATAAATTAAAAAGAAACATTTTTATTTATTTACTTGTAAATTAATTAAGTTCCTAGTATGTATTAAATAATATGGTATATATTTATTATAGTATGTATTATGGAGTCCTAACTTTAGGAGAATGATTACATATTATGTATCTTACATATATTCACTTAATCATATATGTCGCTTGCATTAATGAGTTGAATTCTATATTATAATTAATTTTCTCTCTCTTGTAGAACAAGGAATGTGTCAATGGCCGTAAAAGTGTAAGATGCCCATACATAAAAGATCATGGACGATTTTGGAGAAGCTCTAAGGAGGGTTTGGAAATATTCACTGCAATATCTCTTAAATTTGCAAGATCAGATATTTAAGGAAAGTCATATTCTTGCACGATTTTGGAAAACGCAATTATGAAGATCTCCAAATCACATACATGAATTTTACTCGAAGTAAACTTACTCTAAAAGAATGATGCCACGTCAGTCAAGGTATTCTTACTTAGTTAGGATTTGTCTTGTGGGTATATATATTAAATCACGAAATCAAGATCTCTCTTGAGCATATTAAGTTAGTCTATTCTCTGAAAGTTCGTGAGTTCGTTGATTATATTTATAGTTTGTGAATTTAAGATTTCAGTTTTGCGTTCCTGTACCTCTGAAGCACTGAAAATAGGACATTTGTACTTTTGGTATTATCAACTTAGAGGGATTCCAAGTAGTTTTAATCCACGCTATGACAAGAAAAGTAGTTAATAGGATTGTATGGTAGGTTTAGGTGGAAGCCATTTATTTGTAATTCCAAACTATATTGCGAGAGACAACCTATTTGTTAATGAAAAAACTCTGAGGGGTAGTGAAACGCTCCACCAAGACAATTTTTTTAATTGTTGCTTCCGCCTATATTTTGTGTTCTTATACATGTTGTGCACTCTACTCCTACGCACTTTTTCAATAGTGGTTATATAACAATCGAATATATTGTGTAAACTTTGCAATATTTTGTGTTCTTATACATGTTGCTCACTCTACTCCTACACACTTTTTCAATAGTGGTTATATAACAATCAAATATATTGTGTAAACTTTTTAATTTTGCCTCGTTCTTGGTACTCTTTAAATGTTAATGGGAAGAACATATTTTATGAATGTGATATGAAATACCATATCAGGTCAACTTCGACTTGACTGGAGAAACCAGCTAACCGAACTAGGCGAACCGTCAATCAGGAATCATAGGAGCTATAAGTCGAAGAGTCTTCAAATCGACGATGATGCCACGGGTAAAAAAAATCACCGACAAGTCGAGCTAGGGCCTTCGAGTGGCCTAGTAAAAACTCGACCTGAAGTCGATGGATTGACTAGAGGAACAAAATGCACAAGTTTAGCGTGGGATCTGCATCTCGAGTTCTAACATATTTAAGACCCCCAACTCCCATGAAAACGATTAATAATATTTGGAAAATATTTGCTCAAGCAAGAGTTGATGAGTTTTAAGCTTAAACAAATCTACTTAAAAGCTAACATCCCTGCAACTATTAAGCTGGAAACGACAGTTAAGCTATCTTTTTCCAAGTTCGATATCCCTCTTGTAGAAAAACAAATAAATTAACAAAAACGGGCCCTTATAATTTACAAGGGCGTAGATGGTTTACCTAAAGACGGCTAAGCTTTCAAAACACAAATTTTTTTTCATCTCCAAACAATATCCCCCATAAATTTGAGAGCTGGGACACCCCTTATTTCCACATCAATCAACGGCAACTCTATCATTTTCAGTGTTGATAATTCCGTATCTTTCTGAATCATATCAAGAGCACGCATTTGGTCCTGCAACACCCCCAAAAAAAGGAGCTTTAGAAATTTAATATTTTGGTATTTTAGAAGAAGCGCATATCCAAAATAACAAAAGACATTATTTGACTCCACAAGCATATAAAGTTGGCAATTTTAGCATTTAAACATATAATCCAATTCTAGGTGACTCCAGAAACCAAAATTCAAATGATTTTGTATTTTATATATTACCTTTCTTTTCATTTCACAAAATTTGCAACCAGATGTGGATGGAGGTAGCAGCTGATTCACGATAAGTTTTTGAACTGGAACTTTTTCTTTCCTCAAGGATGCACAGAGTCTTGAGGACTCCCTTAGTGCCATCATCTGCATCAAAATCACACCAGAAAAATGCCACATTCACATAGCAAGGCTCCTTAGAATTTTATAATCACTCTTGAATTTTTTTTACAAACAAACTAATATGTAGCTCATGCTATGAACGGGGTGTAATGATAAACCGTATAAATTAAATCATTGAATCTAAAATAAAAATATAATATAATATCTATTTTAGTTGTATATATAACGCCTTTTTATATTCCATCAGATATAATAGCTTAACATTTGATTTATGTGTGTTCTATCAGTTTCAAAATAAGTGTCAAGATTTTCTCGAACACTTCATATCTCATCATATTATAAAAAAAAACATTTTAACCCATAAAGTTTGCAATAGTTAATGTCATCAATTCACATAATTGAGGAGGACATTTTGGTAGTAGTTATTAATAAGACTATACAAATCAAATTTAATGTCAAAATCACTGATAAGGTGAATCATGGAAGAGGTTTTAATGATATTGGCCTAATAATTAGGAATTCTAGGATTTTATACACTAAGATAAGGTAATATAACTTAAGTACAAAACGTCAACTAGTTATGTATGATATCTAGTAACATATTAAGATAAGTAGAACATGTCAATTAGTTGTTTATTATATCATTCGAATAATAAAAAACATCTAATTGAATTTGTATGTGTATCAAAATCATCGATATTTCTAATTTATTTTAAAAAAGAAAAGGGTTAAAAAGTGAGGATAATTACTATACATTCTCTTTCAATAATAATTTATATGGGCAAAAAAAATTCAATATTTAGTACTGACAATTTTTTAGTGGAAAACTTTCAGCATTTTTTTGTAAATTCTCAACCATTATATAACGATAGCCCACCATCAATTAGTAACTGTGTATGATTATGTATAAGTGGGTTGACACCTTCACTCTTTGAACTAGCTTTGAGATGTGTTCTACACAAGCTCATTTATCATGGTATTTGAGCACCCAAGTTCAAGTTCGTTTGTTTGAAGTCTATTTTCTATTTGGGACCCAACCCATTTGAATTGCACGACGCGTGAGGGCAAGTGGTCAGAGTTATGTTTGTTCCACATCGATTAGTTAGCTATAGGGATGTTAGTGTGTATAAATTGGGTTGGGCACTCTCTAAGCTAGCTAGCTTTTGGAGATGGGCTTTATCCATACCCATTTATTAAATACAAATATAAAAAAGAGGGTCTATAAATGAATTTCCTTCCAAAATATCTATACTAAATTAAGAAAGTGAGAGATTTTTCAATCAATTTTGTGTTTTGGTTATAATGGAACACTCACATATTAACTCATAAGCATAATTGAGTTTATACGCAAATTATACTTAAAAAGCATAATATAATTTTTTATTACCGTGGGAATTGTTACTATAACAAATTCTGTAGTCCTCGTGTCACGGAAAAGATCTCGCACTTTGGCCATCCTTTCCCTTAGCTGCTCTAGCTTGTCACTCTACAAAAATTCAAGGAATCACAAACATTACAGTTTCGAACTGTAAACCATAATTTGGTAGATATACAGTATTGTGCCGGATCAGATAGAAACCAATTTGGACTCATAATTTTCAACATTGCATATATTTTGCATTTTGATTTCAATAGTCCAACTATGCATGTTTTCTAACAATATTATTATGCATGTCCAACATAACTCAGATAGAAACCAATTTGGACTCATAATTTTCAACATTGCATGTATTTTGCATTTTGATTTCAATAGTCCAACTATGCATGTTTTCTAACAATATTATTATGCATGTCCAACATCACTAATGTTAGGTGACACTATTGGGGCATTTCTTCAACTTATTCTCATTTTATTATTTAAGGATCCATTCTCAACCTAACCTAACCTAACTCTACAAATAATTTACACCAAATAAATATAATATACTCTATAATGAACACTTAGAGGACATAATTTCAAAGAAATTAAATGAACAGAAAATCATACTCACATTATCTTGTTGTGGCTCTCCTTTTCCAAAAGCCGACTTAAAGGCTGAAGTTGCTGAAGCTATCTTCTTCTTGAGCTGAACCAAACCATACAGTACATCATCAAATTAGTAAACACACGTAGAAACCTAAAATAAGAAGATGAACAATATTTCTGTTGTTAAAAATGAAATGGAGTTGGTCAATAAGTACTAGATTACTCTCAGACATTGAGTCCCAATTAAGGAGAGATGCATGAAAAGTAAAACATAGGCATCTGCAGACTGCATGCATTTAGACCTACAAATAATGTTTGAAGATACAACTTACAAGAAACGGAATCACCGAATTCAGAATTTTCGAAATTCCAGCATTCTTTGCGACATTCAACAGTGAGACAGCTTTTCTTTTAAACTTGTAACCAAAAGGTGTAATTTTTTAACGTTATCCTGAAAAACTACCTCATTACCCTAATAGGTCACAGTATTTGTTTGTTACAAGAGTGAACCCACCTTCATCATCTTGCCGATAGAAGAATCCAGGAAATCTGGCAGTGACAGCAATCGAAGGGTGTGACCCTACATGAAAAATAAAATAAATAATTAAATAAAAGATAAAAAGAGAATCACTTAATCAATGCTTCAGCAACCACCCTAAAGAACAAATAATGACTGCTTACCGTGGGAGCTGTATCAAACACAATGCGGCTAAATCTACTTAACTCTTGTGACTCCACAAATTGCATAACCTGCAATATTCCAATACAGTTAGCCAACATCATGAAGAAAGTTATAACATAGTAGTTTATTGCAGATGCCTTTGAAATTGCTATAGCTTCATCTAGACCAGGCGGAGGAGTATCCAACAGCTCTGCAAGCTTGAGTTCTCCCAACTGCTCATGAAAACAAAAGGAAAGGAGAAAAAAAAAAGTAAAATATAGAAGCAAATCTTGTGAGCGTACAAAGCATCAAATGTAGCAACATAAGTTATTTCCAAGTAGAAAGACAGTCAATATGAAAACCATTTATAACTAATACCTGTTCTCACCTGGTCAGCAAGCATCCCAAGGCCCATGCCATCCATGAAGCTTTTAACACCTCCTTCACCTTGTAGACTTGCCGATCGAAATTCTTCCCTTGCTTTCTCAGGGCTTACCTTCACCAGCACATAACAAAGCTAGTCACACGAAACCACAGAAAAATAAAGATTAGAAAATGGTGAAAATGAATAATAAGTACCTCTAGTGCATAAAGTGGAGAATCCACACCTTGTACAGGAACAAGCATCCCACCACTCAAATCCTAGGTAAAAAAGAGAAAAGATATTGACAATGATGACAATCACACAAATGCTAAACCTTTCGGTTAATTTTATAGGTAAAAAATATAAAGCACATGCTATTAAGTCTATTACTTGATCAAACGAATCGCTTAACGAGTGAGCAGGGTCAGTCGAGACCACAATAGTCGGTTGACCGTTGTTTGCGAATTTCACAGCAAGTGACGCGGCACAGCTTGTTTTCCCTACACCTCCTTTCCCTCCCAACATGTAATATTTTCTTTGGGAACCAGAAACCATTTCATTGAATCCAACTACATTTTCCAGGGCCGTGACAAAAGATCTCACTGCAAGAATAATTTTTAATTTAGTTTTCAAAACTGGAGCTCTAATTTCAAAATCATGTGTGCTGAGAACTGGGGAGTGCCATATTGCATCCATTAACAGCTCTTGTTTATCTATACACTGTTCAATTTCTCAAATCTTGTCAGGCAACGACCCACGTCAGGTAATAATAGATGAACTGAGATTACATTATTGATTTCACTGAGGTCGATAAACTTAAAAAACAGCCTTAGGGACTAAAATGTGTTATACTATTCAGCAGTTACATTCTTATTCATGAACTAGATTTAACAAGGTTTAGCTAGAATATTATAATAATTCATCCAAAGCATCAAATTGAAAGAAACGCAAAGAAGACAACTAGAAGGCAGTGAAAAAGAACAACAAAAAGATACTGCTCAAAGAATCTTGCATTGTTAAGGCGACAACAAACAACTAAAACTACAGCAGAGTTAATAAGCATGAAACAAATGCTAGAAGTAAACGGTCAACTAAAACATTGAAAAATTCCGAAAATAGTCAAATGATATTCACAATATTCCAATTTGAACAGATATGTATGAAGTGCGTGTGAAATTTTAAACGAGGAGACAACCTTGTAATGGTGGTCCGAGAAGATTTGGGTTGATACGATTGGAGAGGGAGCTCAATAAACATATTCCATTTTTATTACCAGATATTAAATATCGAAACTGGGATTTGGATATTTGACGGAAAAGAGAAGCCATGGGTGATGAAAAGCACCGAGGAACTGAGGAGGAGGTGGCCAGGAGCTTCAGAGGGAAACGAAGGGCTTCGTTTATGTTTGTTAAAGATACTACTACGAATCCCGTATACACGATAGAGATATTAATTAAATATTTATAAATTAAATTTTTTTATTAAATAATCTATATATACTTTCTCTTATTTCTAATAAATGTCGTTTTGAAAAGTTGTACAATAATTAAGAATATTTTTTTTGTCAATAATAATCCTCATTAATGAAGATAGAAATTGATGTTTTGAGAAAAGATGGAGAGTGAATATGAAAAGACGTAGTGTATTTTTTAGTTAGATGAGGGTAATGATGGAAAAATATGTATAAAATAGTCAAAACGACATTTAATTTACAAATGATCAATTAAGCTAGGATGACAAATAATAAAAATAGGAGGGAGTATATATAAGAATTACTATTTACTAAATATAGTAACTGAAAATTTTGAGACAACATTTATTGCATACTATATTAGGATATTTTTTTATACAAAAAAGAAGAAACATTTAAAACATCCTAAAATTTTGCATATACAGTTCTAATCAGTATATATAATTAGTTCCTAAAATGTTGGATAAACAATACAGTAATTTCGGATTTTTTTAACGGGTTGCGGATTGCATCACGTTATTACGATATAATTAGTTCCTAAAATAAATGCTATACAACATTAATTTAGGATTTTTTTTGAACATGATATCGGATTGCATCACGTTGATAAGATTTTTTTTTAAAACATGATATCATATTGCATCATGTTGGTATATACCTATTATATACGATATTTTGAAGGGATTAGGAATTTGAAATCAATTCAAATTCCTTTCTTTTCACAAGTTAAAAATTTAAATCAATTTTATTTGAAATTTCAAATGTGTGGATTATTGTAAAAAGATTATTGTTTTATCTTCAATATTAATTTAGGAATTTATTTTTTTAACTTCTTTAATATCTATAGCTATCTATCTATATATCTATACTTATATAAAAAGCCATCCCATTTACTAGAATTAGTAGAAAGAAAAATCAACTCATAATTAATTGTACACCATATTTAGAAAGTTTTAGATATTTTAAATCATAAAATAGGATAGCATTAAATGCCCCCTAAAACTATGGGTTTTGTTGAATTCATACATCAAAATTTACGTGTGGTTTTGAAGTGAAAATTTGAAATTCAAAATCTCTTCTCATTTTAGTTACAAGAAAATCGGGTTGCATTCAACACTAGGACCAATTTAAAAATTATTCCTTAAATGAAGGAATTTATAGATAATTGTTATCTCTACTCAATCACATGATTATTTTCAATATAAAAAGAGACAGATTACAAATTAGTGAATCATATATTACGTAATTCAATATCTAAACATTAAGGAATAAATCCATAGCATTATGTAAATTCGTATCTCATATTATTATATCATTAAGAATATATTATAGTTATATTATCAAACCATAAAAAGATATTAAATCCATATTGTAAAAAAAATAATTCATTAAATTTTATAACAATTCTACTACATTATTTAACAATATTACTTTTTATTATATAATAAAATAATAATCAAATATTATATAGTGAACAACAATAAGTAAAACTGTTACTTTCTCTTATATCAAGTGATAAATTTATATGCTAAAATTAAATTTTTATTAGTATAAATGTTTTAGTGAGATAATACATTAATCATTTTACAAGCTAGCCCTAACATGCTCATATTTAATGTTCTAGCTAAAAAAGCAACGCTGGTTAAAAGATGTGGAAAAAAACTTATAATAACTCTATTATTTTTTAGACTTAACGTTGATTAAAAGAGGTAGAAAATAGATAATAACCCTATTATGTTTTAGACTTAAACGAACAAGGGTGTGAAAATAACTCATTTAATATCTCTGTCTCGTGCATCGCACGGGGTACGTACTAGTATTTATAAATTAAAAACTTAAAATCAATATGTAATACATTGTTTTAAATACCGTACCGATGACCATATCGGTCTAGCCACCAGTACGCGGTATTACCTGTAGGACCGGTAATATCGGTAGTATTACCGGTAGGACCGGTAATATCGGTAGTATTATCGGACTAACAAATATAATGATATATATATTTATATATAAAATGTATAATACTAAATGCAAAAAAGTACAAAAATAAATGACCATAATCATTAATTTTAACTTACCAATGAGATAAAAATAAAACATTCTAACTACCAATTTAAATTTTATGTTTTTTAAATTAATAATTTTTTTTTTATGACCGGTATTTTGGACCGGTTTTTTCCGGTATTTACGGTATAACCACAATACAAACCGGTATAACCGTAAATCCGGTATTCTGTGTGCAATTGTACCGTATCAATGGCCGGTATCCGGTATTACCGGTATTACCGGCCGGGACGGTACGGTTTTTAAAACAGTGATGTAATACGATGTACCTAGATTAATTTATTGTAAATGTTGTATAAAATTTAAATTATGCAAAATTATATAAAAATGTCTATTTTTAAAATTATTACACAACCTATGCGTTGCACATAACTGATAATAAATTACATTATTTTCGTTTCAATAAATGTGTCATTTCAAAAATTTTATTCAGAAATTCAATTTGACTTTAACGTGATTCTATAAAATAATTATTTTGGTAAAATTTTATCATATATTTAAAAACATATGTGAATAATAAGTATAAATATAAAACTTATATTGTTTCATTAACTAAAATAAATTTATTTTTGTGTACAATATCCAAATAAAAAAAAAAATTACGTATTTGAGTAAAAACAATCAGTCCTAAGATTTTTTATGCAAAAATAAAATCGACACTCTTTATCATGCTAAAAAAAATGAACAGTGCAATTCACACAAAAATTATTTGAAAGTCGTAAATAAAATTAATTTAATTGAGACCCACTAATTATATAAAAAAAATTGACCAGAGTTTTTCTGTAAAAAAAATTCGACACATGCACATTATATAAAAATATTTGTTCATATTATTTTATCGGAGTTACTATAATTTTATTATGATAATTTCATACCAAAAATTGAAATACATGCCTAAAAATTAATATATTAGCTTGTGCATTATAGAAAAAAGTACACCATATATTGATTAATTTTTCAACAAATTTTCTACTTAAAAACATTCATCAAATAACCTAAATAAATTTACTCACTTTATACCATATATTGATTAATTTATTTTCCATTGAAACAAACATCAATACCAAAAATAAATCAGTTCACTTTATACCATATATTAATTAATTCATATGATTTGAGTAATTAAGGTATCTTAAAATATGGCTTAATTACTTCCTTAAATAATGAGCCGCAATTTCCATAAGTTACCATTTAATATATACCATAAATTGTAAAACTAATTTTCAGAAATAATAAATTAATTTTTTTTGGATAGAAATAGTTACTATCTAAAAAATAATCAAACCTTTTTTATATAGATATAGATTTTATTTAAGCTAAAAAAACTCCCAAATATACTCAGCTTTTATTTAATTTGTGAATATATATATATGCATATATATATATATATATATATATATTGAAAGTATATTTTTTCCTATTTTCACATCATAAGTTAATTTTTTCACTCAAAAAGTAAAAGGCAATGTACGATGAATTAATATGTAACAGTTGTGCGATAGTTATGCAATTTGCATGTGACAGTTATGTTATCTATTTGCATAACTTTCGTACTTTCTGGAGTAAAAAATGTTATATTATTACCGAGCAGTGTGAAAATATTAATATATCTTTTATACTAGGTATAAAAAAGATTTTGTTGCTAAATAGCAATGGAATTATTCTATTGAGAAACCAAAGAAATTGCAACACATTTATTCATAATTGTATTAGCAACGAAAATATTCCATTGATAAACACCAACGGAATTGCAACTCATTTGTTCATAATTGTATTAGCAACGAAAAAATTTGTTGTTATTTCCCAGCGAACTCATTCCGTTTGAAGATCCAGTGGATTGCCAACGAATACATATAGTATTCAGGGACAGACCTACATGCGGGCCCCCTTCAATTTTTTTAAATCATTATATATATACAAATAAAAAATACTATAAAACATGAATAAAAATGTAAAAAATATGTAGAATATATAAATAATTAAAATTTATTTTCAATGCTATTTTAATTTAAAGTAATAATATTATTTATTTATTGAAAAGTATACTAACAATCTTTATATTTTACATTTCTGAATAAAATTTTTAAAATATATAATAATTTACTCTTTCGGCCTCTTAATTGTAAATCAATTTAATGATCTATAAAACCTAGAATTTAGTTGGGTTGTTAGAATTTTAAATGTTGATCGATTGTATATTTGAATAATGATTTTTTACTTTTTTTTTTTAATTTTTGATGTAATCACATATTTTTAAGTTTATTTATTTTTTTATTAATAAAATAGTCATTTGATAAGCTTTCATCAACAAAAAATGCTATGTAATGTGTTACAAAAGTCAGTGTAAATCAAATTTTGAACAAAAAAATATATTTTTTCATAAATTATAGATCTTATACTTAAATTATAAATACACGAAATCTCATTTTTTTCTTAAAAAAAGTTTGAGGGTTATACGGATTCTAAGTTTTAAAAACTTGATGGTACACATATCAATATCTATATTTATAAATAAACACAACTTTATATAAAATGGGGGTTTCTACGTAAACTACAAACTCGTTATTTAATATTTACAATTAAGCCCCCTCAGTGAAAATCCTAACTATAGTAAAAGGACTTTGAACTAACGAGATATTACATATAAGGGATTTATATATATGATTTGATAAAATAACAACATAGTTAACTTATTTAATATTTTTTTAAAAATATTGTAGAACATATGATTTCGAACAAGTAGACATGCTTATTTATATTTAAAAATGCAAACTTACTGAGAGATATATAAAAATATAAATTTCAACTTTTGATTATCCAAAAAAATTAGGTCTTACCAATAAATTGTTACAGCAGAAAACTTAATTAGAAATATAATATAATT